AGACCTAATACTGGGAAAGATTGAGGGCAGGAGGAGAAGGGGACAACAGAGAACAAGATGGTTGGACAGCATCACCAACTCAATGGACATGAGTTTGAACAAGTTCCAGGATACAGTGAAGGACAGGGAAGCCTGGCATGCTGCAGTCCATGGGGTCACAAAGAGTCAAACACCATCAAGCTAACTGAACCACAACAACAATTCTTTGGTTAAGGAAAGCCTGGGGGACTTTTCTGACCGCCCAAAGGCAGATTGTACTCCTTGTCTGAGTTGGTTTCTGGGATTGAAATTAGTCTTCGTAATAAAGTAACAAGGGTGAGAGGCTAACTACGGACGCCGAGAAGGAGGGATGGAAAAAGATGCTGCAGGTTGGGTGTAGGAGAAAAAGCTAAGTGAGAAATCGCCTTTGGTGGGGAGATTCAGGAAGCTTTAACCTGGCTCATCTTCAAGGACTACAGCTGTTTCCTGCTCGTCCCTGTATAGTCATCTCAGGGTATCTCTCAGTTCTAGCACAATCTATAACTCAGGATGGCCCTAGTGGTGTCTGGAGTGATGGAGGCCCAGGCTCAGTCAGCACAGGGTTGAGCAGGACAGGGAAAGGAGAGAAGCCACAGAAGATAAGGCCAGATAGATGCAGAGCTGCAGCATTGAGGACCAAGGGTGGACACCGTCCCACAGCCCCACGCCCTGCCCAGAAACCAGCAGAAAGACATACTGGGAGGAGTCAGGAGTCATAGTACAATCCCAAGTTACAGGTTTTCCAGGAAAAAATCGAGAACACGTATTGTTTTGTGCTGCTGTTAATACTTTGTCTTCAGTCTTGTCTGGAATGTTCATTTAGCCTTTAACATACTATCTTCTTTTCCCAGTTCATTTTTTTCACATTGAATGTCCTTTTCTGAAACTAAACTGAACACGTGTGAGGACTAGAAGTCAGTTTAAGCTTCTTTGGGTCTGGAGCCCATCAAGCACATGGTTTGTCTTCAACAGATACTGACTGATAAGACTATAGGAGACCATAAGGCTCTCTAGATGAAAGTGGGTATATACTTATTTATTTTTTGAATGAAGTCCTTTATAAACGCAAGGTCAATCTAAATGACTGCTAAGAGCCCAGGTTCCAGGGCAAGACTGCCTGGGTGAGAGGGTTTTAAAGACTGGCTCTATACAACCTGTGTGACCTCGGGCAGATCACNAGGTCAATCTAAATGACTGCTAAGAGCCCAGGTTCCAGGGCAAGACTGCCTGGGTGAGAGGGTTTTAAAGACTGGCTCTATACAACCTGTGTGACCTCGGGCAGATCACTCAATGTCTTTATGTCTCAGTATTCTGATCTACAAAGTGATCATCATAATACCACCTCCTCCACAGGCCAGTTCTAAAGATTAGTAAATATATTCAAAGCATTTAGAACCATCCCTGAGCATGGCAGCAGGCTCTGTGCTTTTGTCATCCTGTCTCACCTGCTTGATGTTATGGTTTTTCTGTAGCAATTCAACGCTACAGAATTGTTTAGGACAGTACCCTTGACTTCATTCCTGAGCGGTGACTCCTTGAAGACCGGCAACTGGCCTTCAATTCCCCTGCCCCACTCTCCTCAAAGTATCTCTGGAAATGTTCTACAGATGGGACTGAAGGACCCCCAGCAAGTGGCCTTACTTAATGGCAGAGAGGTAAGACTGGAGAGGTGCCTTGGCGACCAGCCTGGGTCAAAAGTCCGCAGCCCCTGAACACTTCATGTCTAACAGGCCTCCTAAGACCATGTCCTCTTCTCATAAGGAATTAGGGTATTTGCTCTGGCTCTGGACACTTCCCAAAGGTCTGCACCAGTGGCAGCACTAACAGTGGGGTGCATATAACACAAGGGATGTGAAAAAATGACCCTCTGGATATGGGAAAGCCATCTTAAAGTGTGTCTTTATTAAAGTTTAATCCTGAATTTACTAGTCATAATTTAATAATACTGTATAATACGTAGGCAATTCATAAGGGACAGATATGTGCACGCTGTGTGCTTCAGTCGTGTCTGACTCTTTGGGACCCCATAGACTGTAGTCCACCAGGCTCCTCTGTCCATGGGATCCTCCAGGCAAGAATACTGGAGCGGGTTGCCATGTCCTCCTCCAGGGGATATTCCTGACCCAGGGATGGAACCCACGTCTCTGACATCTCCTGCATTGGGAGGCAGATCCTTTACCACCATGGCCACCTGGGGAGCCCAAGGGAGAGATATACCTGGACTAAAGGCATTTTCTCAACCACGTGGGTTCTGATAGAGACAGTCCCTGGAGTTGCACGGTAAGCCGGGGAAGGGAAAGGGCTTGTGATGAATTCAGTGTAGGAAGGAGGAGTAAGCTGAGACAGTGAGAAGGAGAGAGGACTTGTGGCTTTACGCCCAAGAGCTAGAGCAGTGATGTCCCCCCACCTATCCTCAACAGACCATCCCGGCACTTCTGGCAATTTCTGTAGCCTTGTGTAAAACAGCACAGTTCCTCAAAAGTGCCTCAAGTTCAAAGATGTGGGCAAGAATGGTGTCTTGGACATTTGGATGTCACACCTCAGCCGGGGCAAGAGATCACTGCTACAGGGAAAAGGCCGGGCAAACAGTCTCCCGTCTGAAGCACTCAGAACACTTCTGCCTTCTTTCAGAGGAGAGACAGGAGAAAAAGCACTAGTTCATTCATTCAGCCTGGTTCTCTGATGACGCCAGGAGGCAGCAAACTCTTCCTGTAAAGGGCCAGAAAGTGAGTATCCACAGCTTTGACCGACCACATGATCTCTGTCACAGAGGTGACAGCAACTACAGATGATCTGAAAACAATTGGGTGTGGCTATTTATGGACTCAGAAATTTGGGTTTCATAGGATTCTTACACATCACAAAATATTATCCATCTTTTGACTGCAAATCATTTTAAAAGGAGATGATCACTTTTAACCCACAAGCACTACTAAAACAGGTGACCAGATGGATTTAGACCAAAAGCCTCAGTTTGCCAAACCCCGGCTTAGAGAAAACACTAGTTTGGCTGTTGTCATTGTTTCTTTAAAAGTGTGAACATCTTTCCCTTGTCTCTATCTTGGCGTTGATGAATAAAATACTTTTTCCTCTTCCAGTTGATTTTTCATTAAGCCCCCAGAAGTTTATCAACAAGAGCTAATTCTAAGAGCATATGAATATGGAACAGGGAACCTACATAATACCTTTTGTTGTCAGGTTTTCTTCAAATTAGATATTGAATGTCACTGAGATGGTTATCTTCGTCTTTTATAAGGCACTGCGTGGAAATAAAATTACCTTAGCTAATAATATGCAACAACTAAATGCAAAAATAGTCCAGCCCCAGACTGAAGCAAATTAAGCAGGCTGAAGGTAAGAGAAACTCTGACAGAAGAATAAATGGGTATTCTTTCTATCTAAACCAAGATATGTATTATTAACACCGGATGGTATTTACAACATCAAGAGTAAAATAAAGGAGTATTTTGTACCTTTCTTCCTATGATAGAGTGAAATATTGAAATGCAAATATCAATAATCAGTTATAAAAGCAACTTAGCTTGCCTGGATTTCAAAACATATAATTTAGTGTCATAATGCAGTTTAACAGAATTGCTATGATCTACTTCTTGGGAACTGGAAGTTACAACAGTCTGAAGATGCAGAACCTGGTGCCAAATCCTGGACCACAGCTTCAGCATCCCCATATCCTGGCCCCTGACTGGGATAACATGTATGATTAGAAATGCAGGCAGCTCTAGTGTCTACAAACCAGCACCATAATATTCTCTAAGTTTACTCAGCCACGGGAGGCTTTAGACCAAGTGCAATTCTCTGTATCTTCTTAATTATATTGATTTTATAGTTAAGCTAAGTGTTCTCCAACAAATTTATTGTGACCTTTAACTAGCTATTTTGCAAACAGCTTCATGTTCTGGAAAACACTTGTCCTTCTTCACATGGCCTGTGGTTGTGTTCAATTCAAAATATATATTTAATCCAGGAGAGCTAGAGAGTTGAACCATATATGCAAGTGCCAGTGACCAACAGCTAAACTATAATTTCCTATGATTCAGCCTAATAGTGTGTATGAAGTAAATTCTCAGTTGGCCTTACCAAATATGGTACATTTTTAGTAAACATGTTTTTCTCCTCCCAAGGTTGCCAAAGATGTAGAAAAGTGTTAGTCACTCAATGGTCTTCAACTGCAATTCCATGGACTGTAGCCCTCCAGGCTTCTCTGTCCATGCGTTTCCCAGGCAAGAATACTGGAGTGGATAGCCGTTCCCTTCTCCAAGGGATCTTCCCAACCCAGGGATCAAATCCAGGTCTCCTGAATTGCAGGCAGATTCTTTACCATCTGAGTCAGCAGGGAATCCCCAAAACAGGCATACTGTACCATTAAAATGACACTCACCAGCCTTAAGTAAGTACATATGTCTTTATATGTTGTGTGTTTTCTTAAAGCAATTATGCTCATTAAACACATTAATAATGATTTACAAAAAAATTAGTACTACTACTTTTGATTTGCCTGTGTGACAAATTACGCTAACCCCCACTCCCCCCTCCAGACTTCTTTCATTTACAATCTACTCAGGGAGCTCAATTGGAGTCATGTTTGATTTTTTATCATCATCAGAAACATTACTGAGAAAAGCAGGTCATTTCATAATGCTCCTGAGGAGAAAGGACACCGACACACACATGTACACACACGCATGCACACACACGCACACACACACACCCCTTTCACGAGGGAGTGTTATTTAAGCTTCCAAGCAGACCCACCCGTCTGTGGGAGGGCCACACCACTACAGACAGACCACCGCTCTGTGGGGGGTCCCCCTGGTATGGACAGCCCACCTCTGGGACAGACCACCCCCCGGCCAGCCGCCCTCCCCGCCCCATGTGGACAGCCCCCCTCTGGGACAGACCACCCCCCGGCCAGCCGCCCTCCCCGCCCCCGTGGACAGCCCCCGGGGGTCCTGCATACACACCTGTGCTTGTGCGGTACGTGCCCGTGTGTGCTGGCGGCAGAGGGTCCCCCTGGCTCTGGCTGAGACTCCTCATGGGGGGCTTCTGATAGACGCGGTCTTCATAGATGGGGTCGATGTGGTGCTCCGGGGACTGCAGGGCCCGCAGCTCAGGGCCCAGGTGGCCGTGCTGGCTGCTATACGAGGCCCGGGACCCAGCTGCAAGGAGGGAACAAGGAGACGGTCAGACTCGCCCGATGTTCAGACAGAATTGGTTTATCCAAGGTATGTTCAAATTTGGGGAGGGGGACAGAAACGTTGAAATCTGCAGAAAATCCAATGAACAGCGTGCAACGGTAGCAAGAGTTCAAGCTCATCAGCTTATCGGCATCACCCAGCCGCCTCGCTTTGCTCCCGAGCCTGATCTCTGAATATGGGTGATAATGATGCTGAGATAAATCCACATTGAACAGGGCCAGCGGAACACATTTTTCTCAGCCTAATGACTGGAGCAGGTTTCCTCACTGAAGAAGCCAGGCAGACTGAAGTCACCCCTAAAAAGCTCTTATTAGTCCAGTTCTTGCACCTGAAATTTTACGGTGGCCGTTCTTATTCAAAGTATGAGCAGGTGAATAAGCCACGGAGGCAAGCCATCTTGATGCTGTTCCAAAAATTGGACCAGAACTCATCCTCATCAGTGGTTTTTCTCTGGACAATGAGTGAACCAAAATGTTCAGCCTTACAACAGCCTAAATCCCTGAGAGAAGCAGATTTTAAAGGAAAAAAAAAAGGTTTTTAAGTGATATTTCCTATTACCCTCCAAATGGAAAGATCTGCATCTTCTCTACCTTCCTCTGAAATGGTTCAAATGGTTGCCACGAACTGGCTTCATTGCTGAATTGAGGCTACACATTATTGTAAATCCTAATTTGTGTCTTTGGACTTTTTCTTTTTTTTTTTGGTTTAGTGTTTTTTGCACCATGTGGGAAGGGCTGCAACTTTGAAGCAGTGCTGTGGACCAGGGAGTCTGCACAAGAGGAGCAGAGTCTTAGGAGGGCTAAGAGCTTGAGCTGACATACAAGAAGATGTTGATTGAGAGCGAATATTTCATCAGAGGGATGGCCAGAATCCCAGGAGCAGACATGCCAGGGGAATGCCAGGGGAATCGTCTCCGCGGGCACAAATGGAGTGGAGGACATCTAGGGATGCTGACGGGGCACCAAGGAGAGATGGCTATCCAGCAATGGTGAGGACAGGCCCACACAAACCCAAGTGAGGCCACAGATGATTTTAGCATAACCCTTCAGATAAATCTCCAAAGCTAGCAGTCTGCCAGGTACACTTGGATTTAACTGTCAGCTGCCTTCGAACAGTCCCAACTGGGAACCCTCCATTTCAGCTTAAAGGAAGAGGGAGTTGCAATTCCTTGATTTTAATGGTGTTTGTGGGAAGCTCTCCCTCTCTGTCCTGCCAGTCCACTGCCTTCACTGCTGGCCACTTGAAAGCCAACATCTTCGAGAAAACCAGATCTAAAAGAGACACGTGTACCCCAATGTTCATCCTAGCACTGTTTATAATAGCCAGGACATGGAAGCAACCTAGATGCCCATCAGCAGACGAATGGATGAGGAAGCTGTGGTACATATACACCATGGAATATTACTCAGCCATTAAAAAGAATTCATTTGAATCAGTTCTAATGAGATGGATGAAACTGGAGCCCATTATACAGAGTGAAGTAAGCCAAAAAGATAAATACCAATACAGTATACTAATGCATATATATGGAATTTAGAAAGAAGGTAACGATAACCCTATATGCAAGACAGAAAAAGAGACACAGATGTACAGAACAGACTTTTGGGCTCTGTGGGAGAAGGCGAAGGTAGGATGATCTGAGAGAATAGCATTGAAACATGTATATTATCAAGTGTGAAACAGATCACCAGCCCAGGTTGGATTCATGAGACAAGTGCTCGGGCCTGGTGCACTGGGATGACCCAGAGAGATCGGGTAGAGAGGGAGGTGGGAGGGGGGATCAGGATGGGGAATACATGTAAATCTATGGCTGATTCATGTCAATGTATGGCAAAAACCACTACAATATTGTAAAGTAATTAGCCTCCAACTAATAAAAATAATTGGGAAAAAAAAATTAAGCCAACATCTTCAATGTGCAATGATTGGCTGCTTCTTCAGGATCATCTAACCCCAAAGATTTTAATATTCTTGTCTAGTCTATTTGAGGATAAAGCCATTCAAAAGTTTTGAAACTGCCAACAAACGTCTTGCTGGTGTGTTTCACATAGGCTGCTTTACATTTAAATCAACAGAAAACAGAGGGATTCCAAAGGACTGAGGCAAGGTTGGGGCTTCTATGAATTCAATCTTGGTAGCAATCACTGAATGTTTTGAGGCAAGGGAAGGGAATAAAGTTGGCAAGTTCTCACCTTTCCTTTTGCTAGTAATTAAATAAATTCTGGTTTAGACAGCGTTCCAATGAGTGATAGATTCAAAATAACTGTTTTGCATAATTAGGTTCATTGCATCTGATTTATCAAATGCCAACATCACAGTGAATATTATCTCATGCTGGTATTTTCCAAGAATATATTTAAGTATGATACGCCTTGAGTTCCTGCTGTCAGTTCTTCCTACTTCTGAAGGTTTTGATAGTATTGCCAAGGACTTACAAGTGTGAAAAAAACTAGAAAGCAGTCATTATATCCAAATGTCGTATAGTTAAATAAAAGTTATTCGTCGTAGATTTAGAGTTTTAACTTTATCACCGTTCCTTGATTCTAAACAGTTAAAAATAGCCAATGATGAACAGTAAAAGGACCTGCTGATCTTTTAAGTTGTGACATGAGCTGAGGGTACGTACAAAAATCCTCTTCTGATAAAAGGGCATTAAGAAATGTTTACTCTCTTATTACGTGCTGGTACTATGAAAAATGCAACAGTAAAATTATTAAATATTTGAATAGCATAGTGTACTTTTTTTTATTAGCATGTTCTTGATAGAACTGAAAGTTCATGGTGTTTCCCTGTGGAGACATTTGTGCAAAATACCTTTGCATATTTAAGCACTGTGCACAGTGCTGAAATGAGGCATTTTAAACTGAGCATTGTTTACACTCCTTTTATCCACTGTAATCAGGTTTTAGTGGCTCCTGGGTGGGCAGGCACAGTTATTGGCACGAGAGATAGAAGTAGGAGAAACGAGGGACAAGGAATTAAAGGCTACAACTTCTAGATTTCATGCCTTTCACCACTCTTGCTCAAAAAAGAACATATCAGATCCCTACTACCAAGGCCTATTTGGGATTTTTCTGGTGATCCAGTGGCTAAGACTCTGAGCTCCCAATGCAAGAGGCCTGGGTTAGATCCCTGGTCAGGGAAGCAGATTTCACATGCCCCAACTAATGATCCTCCACACTATAACTAAGACCCAGAGCAGCCAAATAAGTAAATGAATATCTCCAGAAGAATAAAACAAACAAAAATCACGCTTATTTTATTTGGAGGCAATTAAAAAAAAAAAAAATCCTCACACCGCCTGTTCTGGGACTGCGCTCCAAAATTCCATGCTGCTGAGGTTTTAGTCTCTACGTCAGGTTCAGTTCTTTGGGACCCCACGCACTGGCTGTAGCCCAACAGGCTCCTTTGTCCATGGGACTCCCCAGGCAAGAATTCTGGAGCAGGTTGCTATTTCCTTCTCCAGGGGACCTTCCCGACGCAGGGATTGAACCTGTGTCTCTTGCATCTCCTGTACTGGCAGGTGGCTTGTTTGCCACTGAGCCCCCAGGGAAGCCCACAAAATTATATGAGGTGGTGTATATATTTGCTGATTCAAAGACAATACACTTTTCTTTAATAGTAATGTTCTTTTATCATTATGACCTACTTGACAGTGAGTCCTCATTGTAACACTGGACTCCAAACACTGCTAGTAAACATTTGCGTCTTTGCCAGAAACTGGAGCAACATTGCCATCACAAGGGAAATGTTAGAGAAACTCTGACTTTGTTAAAATGTCACAAATGTCAAGGCCAATTGTGGTGGTGGAGAACAGGTCTGAGAACCTTGCCTTGAACACGCTGAGGGCTCAGAACTGCAGTGTGGCAAAGGGCAGTGGAAACACAGATGGGCCAAAGAGAAAAGAGAAAGCAGATCCCACAGACCAGACCAACTGCATCATCTGGTCCCCGGCCATTGCAGACGTAGGCCATACAGGTGTAATACCTGAGTGTCCAGAAGGCACTTAGTGACTAATTTCTGCCACAAACCCTTACAGCATCCAGTGTCAATCTATCAGTGCTCTCATATGCTTTTACTCGTCCGACGTCGCCTCTTCACAAGACAAAGCTTGGGCTGAGAGAGCCCCAGCCCTGGCACTTTTCATATATGATATGTTTCTGAAATTAGTGGGTTTGAAGACTCACACCTGACACATCAACGATCCGCATGCAGGCTAACAGATTGTGATCCATGATCGCTGAAGGGTATTGTAATAGCTCTGTGGAGGTTAGGCCCTCCTGCAGGTCCAGGAGCCCTGGAAGACTGGAAAGAACCTCATACTGATGCAGGACCAGGCTAGAGACAGTTGCTGCACAAGAGCCACCATCTGTCCTAGGGCCTCAGTCACCAGCTCACTGCTGCTAGCGCGGACTCAAAGGATGCTCAGATGGCTTAAATCAGGTCACTCCCGGCCACCTGGCAGTGGGGCTGGTGATGGGAGGCGAGCAGAAAGGTTTAGTTCTGTGGCAGAGACATGTAACCAAGCAGGACCACATGGGGTCTTCCTGGGACAGGCCCCACCCCACATGTCCTCTGCTATAGTTCCTCTCTCAAATGCCAAGATAACAGTATCGGATGCAGACTTCCTGAGTTGTTTTACAGATGCTAAGTGGAGAAAATTAACTACCTAATGACCATGAGCCCCCAGACCAACGGGCACTGTTATCTATCAGAGAACTGTTCTTGAACTGACCACATATCCTGTGACCCCATCTTTCTCACCTGGCTTTTAAAAATGCTTTGCTAAGAAACCCTTCAGGGAGCTCGGGTTATTTTGAATATGAGGCACTAATTCTTGCTGGCCCTGCAATAAGCCTTCCTCTGCTCCAAATGCTCAAATTTGGGTTTGCTTGGCCTAACTGTGCATCAGGCAGAGGAACTTGAGCTGGGTAATAGATGGATGTATGCTGAAGAATTGA